GAGAGGATAGTAGGAGAGGCTAATGAGAGGATAGTAGGAGAGGCTAAAGGCTAAGACGAAGGGGCGCCTATCAAACCATGGTAACAATGGTAATAGGAAAAAGGAAAATGTAAAAATAAAAAAAAATTTCACCGTCTAAAATCGGAAGACATTTTTAATAAAAACTCTCAACCGATGGTTACGATTAAAAAAATTGTTGCATTACCCCAACTGAAATAATCTGTGGATATAATTTTTTACCGCGTTATTCTGCAGAATTTAGCCGTGACGGATAAAAATCCACGACGCGTGTAGGACGGAAACTGTGTGACGGTAAATTAACAAACTCAATTGCGAGACTGCGCAGATTCATTCGCAAAACCTGATTTAATCGGTTACTTGTAATTCATGGATTTTCATGATATTTTTTACAATTACTTGCGTATCTAGGATAGAGCTGGCGATTTAATGGACAGTTTGATGGGTTTCGATACCCGTGAGAGGGGGGAATATATTTACACGAGAATAGGGACTTGTAAAGGGCAATTTATTCGCACGCGCCAGCGGAAGTACGCACTGCTACCGCCCACGCGTTACCCTCCCCCCCTCAGGTCATACTCGCGCGCTCGTGTTAATTGATACGCGCACCGTTCGAGCGAAACGCGTGGGTCTCAATTTTTTTTTTCAATCCTATTAACAACAGTGCAATTTAAACTGTCAAACGGTCAAGATAAAAAACCCAACAGAAAGTGCATTTTTCAATTGTCAAGTTTCTCCGCAATTTATGCACATTGAGTCACTAAAGCCCCACCATTTATTCCCCGAGCAAATATTTTATACTTCAATTATTTATCATTCATTATTACCAAATAATATTGGATATAATTATTGTCATTATTATGCTGTTTTATTTATTTATTTATTTATTATTTTCTAAATTTTTGAATTAATGAAAAAATTGTGAAAATAGCGATACGAATGAAATGAAAAATCATTTGATTCTCACGTGTACACGAGAATTTCGTCCTGAATTTCGCACCGTCTGGAGGTGTAACAAAGTAATCACACCGTATCCAACGTAGTTATTTAGTCTGGCGTGCGTTAATTGAATTAATTGATACCCCCGCGGGCGGACGCGCAAAAGGAACGTACGATGCACCAACCAAAGGCACAACAGTGCAGAATGCGTGGGACGGAATGAGGGAAAGAAGTAATTCAACTTATTGCTGTCTTTCTCCATCTCCAACATCTTCAGGGTTGTGTGCCATGCAGCATATGCCAACGGAGTGTCGCGACCGACCGCTCATAAATTATCACGCGGTGTAACCAAATGCTTTTCAACAATGTCGTTGAGAATAATGCGAGTAAACATTTGAAAATCTATTTAATTGCATTGATTCCGTGTATTATTTATTAACTAAGTTGACCCGTTTTTCATTATCCATTCATGAATCACTGATTGCTTCAATGAATTAAATTCAAGTTGATGAAAAAAATAATTAATTGATGAGAATAAGTATTCGGAATAATAATTGCAGAGTCAAGGGACGTGTAATTGAGTCATCAAAAGAGTGAGAGGGGTGGTATTAGGATC